AGAGAGATATAAGGTACTTACTACAGTATCATCCCCTTAAACCAATGTGGATGATATTTTATATCATAGAATATGGTCTGGTCGAGATACTATGAACCACCACCAAAAAAAACATTAAGTGATAGAGGCTTGCCCAAGGGACTCACTGCTATAGCCACGTGGATACTGAACAGCAGAAACCAAAGGTAATGACAAAGTATGTGGCATTAGGAGTTCAGGTGCTGCTGATGAGGAGGAAGCTTCCCCCATCACTGAGCCTGCAGCACTGTGTTCCTGTTCTGCTGGAACATAGGACTCCAGGAGGAGAACATGGAAGCCAGGTGGCAGATGATCAAAACCTGGTTATTGCAGGACACAAAACTGGGGCACTGGGGCACCTTCAGAGCACTCTTCAGTCTTTGTTGATTTGCTTCCCTACCAGCACTAGGCCTTCTTTGGACTGTATCTATTTTCATCCTAAAGAAAGGAACACCTAATATTGCAGATAAGATCCAAGGACACTGCAGCAGGCAGCCATACACAACTGATTTTCTTGCTTCCTTACATACAGTGCTGCTCCACTGGCAGGTACTGATGCAAGCCTAAAAATGTTCTTGGAACTAATCTTCAGATCACTCTTAGTTGAATAAATCCAAAATGCACTATTTCACTGTTTGTAAAGGCCCCTGGGAAGCAAAGAACCTGAGTTACCCCTTGAAGAAAGTTGACAGTGAACCGCAAACATAGCATGGGATTGAAAGGCAGAGAATTTATCTCATCTCCTTCTGCTTTCCTCTTGCAGTCCCTGCTTCCATTTCTAGCACAGCTTTGCCCTGAAACAGACTTCTTTTTCTATCACTTTGAGTGCTCAGGGTTTTGAAGGCTATTTTAACACAGACTGTAATGTGGAGATGTAGGCCACAAAGGAAGTTCTGAAAAATACTTAGTTCAGTACTAGTTGTGAAAGAAAAGACCAAGAGAACAAGATACACAGTTAACTAGGACACAACATAAATGCTTCCACAAATGCAGGGTTAAAGAACCTCATTAGAAAAAAATGTTTTGGGATCGGGTTTGGATTTGGGATTTTTTTCTTTACTAATGGTCATAAAGGTCTGTAGAGTTTCAGGATAAACCTGCATCAAAGAGTGTGGGCTTATTAGGCATGCATTTTTTACTGACTTTGCTTGTGTTCCACCTTTCAAAGAGCAGAACTGGGACTTCTTTGTGATTACAGGACCACACAGATACCACATGAGCATTCAGATCTTACTTAGAAACGTAGCATAGAATATATTAGTAGCGTGTGCCTGTGTGGCTGTCTTGCATCAAGATAAAGGGAAAGAATAATGCTGCTGGGGAATTATGTGCACTAAGCTCTGTGAAGCAAGAATTAAAAGTAATGAGATTAAATAGAAAATAACTACATCAGGAACATGTTAATAATTTAATTAAAGTCTACCAAAGTTGAAGTATTTCACAATTAAGGTTGAAGCCCATCAACATGCTCTGTTCTACTTGGGGATTTTGCCACAAGGTAAAATTACCTGTTGGAAAAAGTTTCTCAATGTATGAAGTGAATGGGATCAAGAATGTGGAATGATTGACCATGTTGGACTTGGCTGGTTTACTCAGACAGGCTTTTACTGACATTTTAATATATGTTTACTGCAGTCTAATTTCTAGTGCATAAGATAGATGTGAATATTGATCCTTTTGAAAAACAGGAGGAAAAGATTTAGTGCTCTTTTTTTCCCAGGTTTGTTTGCTATGTTTTCATCTTTATATAACTTCTGAGTCAAACAGAAACAAAGAACAAAAAGGTTCCTTAATAGCAGAGCAAGAAGCAACACAAAGGCCATCACTATGAAGGACTTAGCACCAAAGATTAGCCTGACACATTAAAGAAATAGGTGTATAGATCTTAACAGATCTTTTATATTATCCTTTTAAACAACCCTATAACATTTTATCCAGTCCACAGAATGGTATAAAAAATAAATACTATGCTTCCTGGAGGAGCAGATACTGGTGGCTGTACCAGGCAGAGTCAACATCTTCCCCACAAGGTGCCCCAGTCCCCATACTGTTTATCTTGTAGGAGAATAGACAAAATACGAAATGCCCCCTCGCTAACTCCTGTGCCTGTGACCTTTTACAAGACCACATGCCACTCAATTTCCACAAAACCAACTCAGTTTGATGTTCTAAAATGAGAGTGCACCATCACATTAAAGACTCAAAATGTGGAAAATACTTCCCATGTCAGTAGGTTTGCATCAGAACCTTCTTTTCTCCAGTAGCAATTCAAGCTGCACACAGCAAGAAGACAATACATTGTTTTCTGCCAAAACCAGTGGAAGACAAACCTATTTTTCTTGCAGTGCTTTTTGCATGACAGTTTCCAGTTGAGTATAATGCCTTTGCGGACTTTGAGCTTGCAAACAGAAGGTGGTTGCACTTACGTGGTAACACGTCCTAACAAGTGAAAATGGTTATGTTTTCGTTTTTAAAATGTACACTTTTAAAGGTAATAAGGTACTGAGTTTATGTGTAAAACAGACAACATCCTGAACTGTGTAGCATTATGGTGGTAATTGCCATAATCAAGCACAGCCTGCTACACAATCTTGACAAGTCAGGAAGTCTTTCATTCAGATGTAGTCATAGAATGGTTTGGGTTGGAAAGGACCTTAAACATCATCTAGTTCCAACCCCCTGCCACTAGAGCAGGTTGCTCCAACCTGGCCTATCTGAATAGATGGCAAGCTTAAGACACTTCTATTTTTCTTGTAGTTAGCAAATAAGCATAAGAGACGTGCCTAATAAAAGTTGCTGGTAACGGTGGTATATTTTGACACTCAAGAAAAGAAATGGCCATGGGCACGTCCTGAATCTCAACTGGTGTATGTGGCTGCTCTTCCTTTGGGCACACATTCACAACTAGAAAACTAGTGCTTCACTTAACCGTAAGGCAGCAGATAAAAGGGCAAGACCTTGCATTTTTAGTATTGAAGATCCTGGACTTTGTCCTTCCTGGTGACAAGTCTGAGTACCCAAGCAGGAGGTTTTTATAGTCTCGCTTGAAGTGTTCATCCTTCCCTGCAGCTCAGAAATGAAGCGTGTCAGCTACTTCATTGCGTTACTGGTGTTCTTCATCTGCAGCTACGCAGGGAAATTCTGTTTCAAAACAGCCAAGACAATCTTATTACAAGCACTGCATTTTTATGAAGGGGGAAATAAGGAAGACAAATGCACTCCTGTTCATGAATTTGCCTCTTCTCATTTCCTCTCTTTGCTCTACAGTTATTTGATTCATATTAGGTGTTATTTGGGTCACTTTTACCTTGAGAGAGAAAATAATGGTAACCTAATTTGAGATTTGTACCAATTTAAGTAAGAAAATGAATTCTGAATATTTTGCATGGTTGCTAAATTTAACTGAGTGTTCAGTGAAGCATGAGCTTCCAAATGTGAATTAGTAAGAGGCTTTAAACCTTTTTTCCCTATTTGTTTTTAAACTGCATTTGTTACTTATGATTAGCAATTTTGTAGCATTCATATGGAGTGTACTGAAACTGAATTCAATAAACTGACCTTTTTCCACCTATTAAGCTAAACTTGGTATTTAATTATTATACATGCAAAATCAGGCAGAAAAACTAAGGAGCATTTATAAATGAGATCCTTGTGGTTTATGGGCACTGAATAGGAATATTTGTTTATTACTTTTCGTAAGAAAATTATTACTGCTTATTTTGAATGGGGAATAAACACCAAAATAGAACATCTGTATCAAAGTTTAAAAAGCACAACAATCACAGAAGTCGTTGAATCTCATCCATTTAGTTCTATTGCACAGTCTGCTCAGTGTAACTTTTTACAACCTACTGTGCAAGAAAACAGGTCATTTAAACTCAGTAATTAGTATTACAGATAAAATGGCACTGCAGCAATGTTAATTACTATAGTACTGATGTAGCATAGGATATAATACATAATAGTCATGTCTTTAATTTTAAATTGAAATGCAACAAAGCATATTATTGCTACACGTCCTCTTCCTAAAATAAATGAATGTTATTCAAGTGTGCCGTTTGTATCCTTGCAGAATGTTTTTAAATAAATCACAATTCTACTTTCAGTGGCATATTTCACTTCCCAATGGCATAAGTTAAGGAATCTTTTGCAATAGGAACTTTCCCTATGACAGTGGAAATTATGACAGAATTATATTGCACGTGAAAAATCTCCACCATCATTTTCTTTGTCATTCCAGCAGCTGTAAATCAGTTTGCCAATGAAGCAGAGCATTCAGTCTTTTTAAAAATACAATGAATCCTGAAGAGCATTGCAGCTATTTGAGGTGTAGTGGGAACTAGGGATACATGATCAGATTGGAATTAATCCTGCACTGCTATAGCTAAAATGTCTGGCAATTATAAACGTAAAATATTCAGAACAAAATGATGAGACTTGGGCAGAAAGACAGTGACAGTTTTCACCTGCAGCTCCAGCAGGAGCAGGGCTCCCTATTTATGAATAATTGATTATATCTCTGCTCTTCGCAGCACCTTCACTTTTGGATAATGTTATAAATATTAAAAGGAGGGGGAAAAAAAAGTTAAATTTCAGATTTGTTCAAGCTCAGTTAAATAATTTATGTCAGCTGAAATGTTCCCATTTTCAGTGCAGGAATTTTGTAATGAAGCCGTTATTCAGACCTTGCATAAAAAAATACTCTAAAAGCCTCCTTATTTAGAAGTGTAATAATCCTATTCACCGCGGTAGCCATGTGCCCCTGGCTAAAATATGTACATACAGATTTAGCTAAATATTTGAATATACAGTATAAGACTCAGAGCAGAAGTTGAAGTATAACCTCAGGTTGTGTATTTTATCTCACAACAATAAGATGCGTTGCTACACTTGAATGAAGGGGTGTAAAGAGCAAAACTTTCAAGCACATCAGATTAGTTTCTAGGATTTACAGATTCCTTCTTTTAAATGCTTTTGTTTAGGTCAGTGGGACGATGTATAACACAGGGAGACATGTATCTCTACGATTAGACAAAGAGCATCTGGTCAACATCTCTGGAGGACCGATGACATATAGCCACCGCTTAGAGGAAATCCGGTTACACTTTGGAAGTGAAGACAGCCAAGGATCAGAGCATCTACTCAATGGACAGGCTTTCTCTGGGGAGGTATGTCAACCTACTTGGAGTTACAAATGAATTACTCGCTTTCTATTTCTGCCTGAAGGTATTTGCAAACTAATTTGTATTCATAATTCCCTTTTTCCATTCTGAAAAATTAAGGAATTACTTTTTTTCTTTTAGCTCATGCACTGCAAATTGTGTGACTCGTATCTAAAAATGAAACTGTTGTATTTATTGTATGTATAGGCACCCTATATTCTAATATATGCTACATACAGAGTAATCAAGTATTTTTGGTGGGTCCTTTCTATCCATAGTAAACACAAAAGTTTAACTATGAAGTAATACTGATAGTTCTTATTAAAGAGCTTTTTTTGCTACTCACTGGTGTGTTACACTTCACATTGAGCATCATTCTGCCTTTGATTCATGCGAAAATAAGATGATATTTAATTTTAGAGATAGTTCCACAGAAGTTTCTTGGTCTGCTCAAGAAATAAAGTCAAATTCACGAGTAAACCCTGATAGAACTGATACAGGTCTGCAATTGTTCCAGGAAAGACAAATCATTTCATGATCCTGAAAGCTATTGCAGGATGGCCCATTACTCTTGCTGGATACATATTTTAGTCTCATTTATGGATTATTTTTTCAAGATGTGTAGTAAAGTTTGCAAACTTTATGGCAAACAAAGCAAACCCTTTCCATTCTTCTTATGTAGGAGCATTTTTATATAGAAGAGATGCATGAGGTTTGTGGTACCCATCCTTGTTCAGCTTGTGCCACATCTGTGAACTACCTAGGGTGCAACTCTACTCCACAAATGTTAGCAAATCAAATAATGCTTCACAGCAACTGTATATTACTGTGGGGATTATTTTTAAAGACACTCCAGGTATCCCTGTTACCATTCTTTCAGAAGACCAAAATGAATACTTTTTCATAATAAAGTGCTTCTTTTCTTGGAGATGAAAAATCAAATTACCATCTGTACTATCTCTCACAGACTCTGGTGATGAGTCAGTTAAAGCATGGCATTTTCTTTGGCACTGTGCAACAGCAGTTATTTAAAAGTAGGAAAATAATTGCAGAGTTGTCAACTGATGGTATTCATTTGCTTTGTTTTCTAAGCTACGTAGCTATATAATACACGTATATATAAAATATATAATAATGGCAGTTTTTCCATGAAATTACTCATCTTACACAACTGACTTCTGGTTGCCTTTGTTAAATTCTATGATAAGTGAACGTACAGAGTATAACTCCTTTAAGAGCTGGAAGTTAAGGATGCTGTAGTAAATAAGGTGTTTGCTTTCCTATTCAGATTTACAGAAGAGCAATATTCAAACAAGAGTTAACTGAACAAAAAAGCAAAAATTTGGTTGAAACATACCATTGCACTTGGTATGATGGATCAGCATCGTCTCAGATCTTTTTGAAAGACTGTGATAGGTTCATCAGTCATAGACTAACAAAAGGTACAAACGTAAAGCACTGGTTTGCAATATTTAATGTTAAAACTGAACTAGGCTTTTCTGATTTTGAAAGGAGTTTTGAAGTACTATTAATATTTGGTATTTCCTAAAAGACCTCACATTTTTCTTAATAAAAGCAGAAAACCTGGCTAAGTAGAACCACTGTCAGTCAGTCAGTCATGCACAGCTGGATCTGCAGTATATGCAGGGTTCATCCAGTTACCCAAATTCCTCCTGCAGTGAATAGGAAGAGATTAGCATCTTCAGAGGATGAGCATTCCTGATAGCCAAAGACACATCTCTTAGCACAGGACAAATCACTCTATGGAGATGCATCTCCCTTGACAACAGAGCAGAGACAAACAGGCCGAGCAGCTTAGATGGATGCCTGCCTTTCAGGTGGCAAGATGGATTCTGTCCTTTGAGGATGTGTTTTCCCAAGTTTCAGACAGCTGGTTTGGGCAGCTGGACAGGTAAGTTCCAATAAGGTCAAGTACTAATTAGTTATTTGAACCTGCATCTGCACAGTTACATCTTACTTATAAAACGCGTGTTGTTTTCAAAATACAAGCAGAGATTCAAATTAATCATGCTGAATAGACGGCTGCTGAATAGGAGGACTGCAGCTGGTGTATTCTTGATTCACCCACCCATACAAGTGTTGCCTGTATAGGTGATTTTCAATAAGCTTTCAGCACTGGAAGATGTAATGTCTGCAGGTTTCAGCTACTATAGTAAGAAAACTGTATCAAGCTCACTGCCTTTATGGTAGAATACATGTCTTCATAACATCACGCCTGTTTTCAAGACTTGTGCTGCTAATTACTGTTCACTTCTGCATTGGATAATGCTGTCAGAGGAGATGGGATAAAGAAAAATAACTGCATAAGTGCATTAGTTTAATTTAGCTAGTGCAGGTAAGAATAGCAATGAGTATTTGCTGCCTTGGGTTTTAGCAAGTGTAGGCAACCAGAGAAAAATCATTGCAGGATTACACTGTCTGACTGCTCATGGCACACTAACTCCCATGACACTGCCTTGTTACTGCTGCTCTTCGTGTTGCTCAAACCCACTATGGGTTTCACTGTTTCACTGTTTTGCTGCAGAACCTGTTCCCAAGGATGAAGTCACCCAAGAAGCGTGATCCATTCCAGTCGATCACAGTCAGATTATTCCTACTCCTTCTTCCCTCCACTTCTGGCCCCTCATTTCCACCGAGCTCTCCAGTGCATATTAAATTCAGAACATTGCAGAGAGAGAAGAGGAACCTGGGGAGAGGGCAGGGGAGGGAGCAGTACCTGTCCTTCACAACACTGGCAAACTATTAGGTTGGTTCAAACAGACCTAAATTAAATCCAAGTGCAGATAAGGCAGAAGCTTTTAAACAGTCCCAGTATATCCACTGCAATGTTCTTTACACAACTGGAAGTCCCACCTAATGTCCATACCAAGCAAGAAGCTCGTTCGTAGGGACTTTTTTGCCTAGTGAAGATGTTCTGTGTGAGGGCAGACACTCAGAGCACAGGAGAGCACCTTGGAGTGGGACCATGGCATGAAAAACAATCTAGAAACAGTAAATTGTTTCCAAATATACTGTGGCCTGAATGATATGGAGAGGCTTCTAATTGCCAGGCTTTAACATTTAACTAGGTGTTAAAGACTGTCAAGAGAGATCTTCACAATAATCTGGTTACCTTTCAGCCCCTAATTATCACTTTGGTAGGCAGAATAACCAAACTAATGCTTCGATAGTTTCAGTGTATAGGCTTTACAAGTGTGTATCAGATTATCATCAGTATGTTTGGCACTGCTAACATGTAAAGAAAGGCAGGCTTTGGAGAGCTTAAATAAATAAATTGAGGATTTCTTTGTCCCTCTGATACATACTTGAGTATGTTTAATTCCTTTCCCTGTTTATAAGCATCCTACTGTATTATAATGATTTAAAGAAAATCTCGGCTCAAGCAAAGTCCCCAGCTAAGACCAATCATTTATGTCTGCTGCCTAATGTCTCTGTGGAAAACAGTTTTTAATGCTTCAGAGTTCGTATCATTTAATGAGAAAGACTATCTTTCCTTTTCAGACACAGCACTACAAATTACAGCAGAAATTACCAGAGTTCTGCTGTTCAGGCACTGTCTCCCTTGTTAAAGGGTAACAACCTCCAAAAGGTTCATGATGAAAATGGGACCCTTTAACTTCACCACATAGCAAAGCCATAAAAATCCGTACTATTTTCTTTTCCTTAGCAGAAAAAATGGGAAATGTGCTGCAGGACACCTCCAACCACTTTACAGCTGTGCACTGCAGCAGCCTTATCAGTGCAAAGGCAGGAAGCCAAGGAGCTGAATTATTTGGGGTTACTTTTCATAAACTCAGTGGTTGAAGACTTTGAAACAAGAGACCATAGTCCACAATACATGAAAAAAAAAAATAGAGTTGTTCTTCTCTGCCCACCAATTCAATCTTTGAAAGCAGAGATTATAAACACACAATCATTTCATCTGCTACATAAGAAGTAAAATGAAAACCAGAACAATAGCTAGATAAATGAATACATGTTGCAAGCTCTACCACACAGTTTGGAACTGAGATTTACTTAACGCCATTAAGAAAACTGAATAAAGTACAAGAAAGTGAGAATCAAAGGGGGAAGCTGGAAAGTCTGAAACACCATCCTTCTATTATTGCAATTTCTTTGACTGCAGGCATATTCTCTGTGAGTGGGGAACTTCTAGTGATAGTAAAGGATTACTGATCAGAGAGATCAGTGTTGCAAATCCAACTTGTGGTATTTTTAGAAGCAGGACTGTCAGATAGACAGCCTATGAGAAGCATTCAGCCAGCTGGAATAATTTAATCCAGCCTGCTGCAGAATTAGTCTGAATTGTTAAATCAGGAACAGCGGCTCTGTCACTGAGACCTTCTGTACACCTTTGACTGGCCTATGTGGCCTCCCCCCAGATCCTAACGTTGGTATTATTTGTACAAAAAACCAAAACAGACCAACAAACCCCACCTTTACTGGAATGAAGCACTGTGAATGTGCTATGACAAAACAGAACACATCACGGCAAATTAGCATGTCAGAAACCACAGCAACAAGACAACCTTCAGTTCCACTCCCAGGTGACATTTGGCTCAGCTCTCCACTTGCTTTTCTAACCCAGTTCTGCACAAAACCCCCTGTTTTCTCTTCATAGTTACCTACACATACCAAATCTTTAGATTCCTCTTCCAGGTTTGGCTTTCTTGTTCTTTTCTCTACAGATACAAGGATTTGTGAGTCTAACATGGCTTTTCATCAAATTGCACTAGGACATAGTCCTTCCTTTTCCTAGGAAAGGAGCATTACGTCAGCTAGTCCTGCCACTGAGCAGAGGACAGGAACCTCCTGCTTCTTTCATAACCACATTCCTACAGGGGGTTACAATGGAGCTAGCTGATAGCCAGCCCATACTACACCTTGTAATGCTGGCACTCCTGCAACAACTTGCCAAAGGAAGTTTGAAATGCAGATCTGTCAGTTGCCACAGGCCATCTGTATCATATTTTTGGAGACTTTGT